ATCGCGGGTCCCCACTTCTTGTTTAAGTGTATTTGTTTAATCTCAGAGTCAGAAGTAACCAGCAGGGTCGTCTAGTCCAACCCTCACCAATGCAGGAACTGCAGCCAGAATATCCCCAACAAGTAGGTGTCCGGCCAATGCTTAAAAACCTCCAACGATGAAGAATCCACCCCCTCAAAAGAGAGACTGTTCCAGTGTTAAACGCACCTCTCTGTCAGGAAGTTCTTCCTCACATTTAGTCGAAACCTCCTTTGCTGTAGTTTATATCCGTTCGCCCAAGTCCAGCATGGCTGAAAACATATCTGCCCCTCCTTTGCATGGAAACCACGAGAAAAACAACTGTGTAACAGTTGTGGTTTTCATACTGTACCGTGTACCATCCTTTGCATGGCAACCCTTTAGGTGTCGGGAGGTCACAGTCAATCGTATCACCTTGCAAACATCTCTTCTCCAGTGCAGGGATTTAAAGTTGAGATTTGAAGTTATCACTGTGAGCCGTTCTGGGTCCCCCACCAAGGAGGGTGGCAGGCAATGTTCCCTCTAAGCTATGGAGCCCTGTGAGCAAAAATTCTACTTTGTGAGCTATTGACATTAAAGTTGTGAGCAGGAGATTTGGCAGCTGCATAAATTAGTTTGCTCTGGAACCTTCCTTCCTGAGCTAAGACAAAAATGTGTGAGCCAGAGGCTAAAAAACTGTGAGCTAGCTCACACTAACTCAGCTTAGAGGGAACACTGGTGGCAGGATGACTTCTGCCCTAACGAAACAAAGAGTGCTTGGCCTGGAGGGAAGGGTGTAGGGGAGGGTGGATCTGGTGCTTTTGTGATCGTTTGAGGGGCCGCCACCCCACCCAATTTTCTTGTTCCCCCACAACCTCCCCTGCCTTGAGAGGTGAGTCTTCAGCTAGTGTGGCGCAAGGATTTGGCACTTCAGAGCCTTCCCATCAGACCCCCATCAGAGAGAATCGTTGCGGTTTCCAGTTGATTTCACTCTCACCCACACACGCACAACTTTTCCTTGCATGGGATAGAGCAGGTAGAGGTTTACAAGGGTATGCGTGGGATTTGTTCCTGGCAAACATATTCTGGGCATGCTGCAGGTCCTTGTGATATAAGACCAAATCACTTGAGAGAACAGCCTGGAAAAGTGATTGCCCAGAATTTGTCAGACTTCACATTTTATTAATTAGTAAAGCATAAGGCCTGAGAGACCTTCTGGTGCACATGAGTTTTGAAAATTGGTGGGAGATTGAGATTGGGTTGGACCATGAAATTGAACTGTAACGTGTGTCCAAGAAATATATTGCATTACAGTATATTTTGCATTTTCTTTCATTCTTTGAAAACAGTCATGGGTTAACTTGAAACTGAGAATCATGTTAGAACTGTGCATGCCATATTTCACTTCAGTTTCTTAACTTGTGTTGTGGTGTAAGTTTTACCCAAGGAGAACACGATGTATGAGGTTTACTTGACTGTATTATTGTATTGTTTTATCTTGTTTTTAACTGTTTTAAGTATAGCCTTGAGCCCTAATTGTTAGCCGCCCCGAGCCTGAGGGGAGGGCTGGATATAAATCGAATAATAAATAAGATAGAGCAGGTAGAGAAAGAAGTACTCTTCTCCCTTTCTCACAATACAAGAACTCATGGGCACTCAATGAAATTGCTGAGCGGTCAGGTTAGAACAGATAAAATGAAGTATTTCTAATTTACTGCCACAGGAGGTGGTGGCGGCTACTAGCAAGGACAGCTTCAAAAGGGAATTAGATAAGCATATGTTGCAGAGGTCCATCAGTGGCTATTAGCCACAAGGCATAGATAGGAACTCTCAGTCTGGGGCAAGGGATTCTCTGTATCCTTGGTGCTTGGGGGGAGGGGGCCACAGTGGGAGGGCTTCTGGTGTCCTGGCCCCACTGCTGGACCTCCTGATGGCACCTGGTATATTTGGCCACTGTGTGAACGAGTGTTGGACTGGATGGGACACCTGCCCGATCTACACTGATCCAACACTGGCTTCTCTCATGTTCTTATGTAGATCAGCTCCCCCACCGCAAATCGCTCATTGCTTCCGTCTGTCTTCCAGCCGCCAGCCTGAGCCACCAAAGAAGGAGAAGGAGACGGCCACGACCATGACCATGACCCCTTCTCAGTCCAAGAGAGCAGATGAGTGGAAGGACCCCTGGCGCCGATCCAAATCTCCCAAGAAGAAGCACGGGATGTCCGCTTCGCCCAGCCGTGCTCGCCGGCGCCGGAAAACCTCTGCTTCGTCTGGATCTGCCTCTGGCTCTTCAAGGTACGCCGCCGCGAGGGCGAGACGCAGGCAGAGGTCGCTGTCTGTTTGTGTCCTTCCTGGGTGGTTACCTGGTGGGCTTAGTCCCAGTGGGGGGAGCAGTCCTGGAGAGGGAGGAAGCTGGCTAGGAAG